TTTTACAGTACAGTAGTTATGAATAGCATATATACAAAATTCAAAGTTTGTAGTTGGGTTTTCCAAAAGAAACAAAAATGGCCACAGACAGATAGACAGACGGACAGACGGATGGCCAGATAACCGGCATCGCACCAGCCTATAAATGCTCATATGATGTTGGGCTAGAAACTCAATTAATAATTTTTGGCATTAAGGATCTGAAATGGTTAGATAATTGTATGTGTTTTATGTTTGTGTAAGCCAAGGAACATGAGTGATGAAAGTATATATATATAGACATACCTATACTGAAATTCACTGATACCCCAACCTTTGACCCCATTCAATGTAAAATGACACATTCTTTCATGAACAACAGCATCCCATTCAAGACCACAATAAAATACTGCACTGTTGTACACTTCTGTTCTCAGATAATAAACAGTGCCACCTAAAGCAGAAGGATCAAGCATTATAATAGAATGTGACAAATAGTAGAAGATATGAGTATCTATAACCAAAGTGATAATAATACTGTAAATAAGCATACACAGCAAAATGATCATGAAAAAACAAATTATTGGGCCATGAGTTTTTAACATTCTGTGGTAAAAAGCAAGGAGATAACAAGCTAATACTTTTATAGTTTAATATGTGATGGTTAGTTGACACTGACCTACACAACTAGTCTTAATTTTAAAAATTGATTAATACTACTCTTTCCATTTCATTTTAGACATAAACTAATTAAGTTTACATAATTATGGGCTCTTGTCTGTCATTCATTATTATTTATTATTTCAACAATTATTTCATGGTTATTAATTTCATAATCATTGAGGCAATGACAAATAGGTTTACAAAGATACTGTTCAAATATGTTATACACACCTTTCAAAATGAGTTGATGTGGTAGGGTGACCAAACCAAATGGCAGGTGTCTATTAAACTAGAAATGTCAGTAGCTAACTACAAATTACAGTTACCTATAGCTACAAATGGCAACTGTCTAACTATTAATGGTTGTTGCCTAACTATTAATGGTTGTTGCCTAACTATTAATGGTTGTTGCCTAACTATTAATGGTTGTTGCCTAACTATTAATGGTGGTTGCCTAACTATTAATGGTTGTTGCCTAACTAATAATTGTAGTTGCCTAACTACAAATGATTGTTGCCTAACTTCTAATGGTTGTTGCCTAACTACTAATAGCAATTGCCTAACTAATAATTGTAGTTGTCTAACTACAAATGATTGTTGCCTAACTACACACTGTAATATGTCTAACCACACATACCATAACCCTATTGAAATAGACTTATCACTTACCTGCAACAAAACTTAGTTTATACTGCCTCGGTGGATTGCCATCTTCACCTAACTCAGCAATTGGCATATCTATTGATGATACCAGTATTTTACAACCATTGGGTTTAAATATGTAACCAATACCAAGACTACAACAAAATATACATAATTGGTAACATACAAATCAGCCAAATTTGGATAATAGTATCCAATAAGTGTATAGGATTATTATTTCAAGATGAGTAACATGTCCAATGTATCTTGTAAAGGATTCCTATAGAACTTAAAGTACCCCAATATGATAAACTGGCCCAAAGTTACTGTAGTGATTCCTACCTCTACTTTGATCAATGCTACTCAATTAATACCAGTGTTATATTACTTAATAGTTTAATATTAATGTGAATAAAAAACATGATTACTTACTATGATGTTGTGTCTGGAAATGATACAACACCCACATGAAATGTACTACCGTCTTCCATATAACCCATCTGTACTGCATATCGATGGAAATATTGCCAGCCTCGTACACCTGAAAAATGAATGCTAACTTTGTGTAGTTCTTCTTCCACTGACTTTACATTAACCTGCTCGTAATTTAG